TCTCATTACCGAAGGAAGTATACTTGTATCTCATTCTCATTCCCAAATGATATATACTCATATCTATTTCTCATTCCCGAAGGAAATATGCTAATGTTCCCGAAGGAATATCAATCTCATTTTCCCGAAGGAATATCAATCTCATTTCCCGATGGAAATATCAATCTTATTTTCCCAAAGGAATATCAATCTCAACTTCCCTAAGGAATATCAATCTAATTTCCCAAAGGAAATATAAATCTCATTCTCCCGAAGGAAACATCAATCTCATTTTCCCAAAGGAAACATCATTCTCATTTGCCAAAGGAAATATCAATCTCATTTTCCCGAAGGAAATATCAATCTTATTTTCCAAAAGGAATATCAATCTCATTTTATCGGAGGAATATCAATCTCATTTCTCGAAGGAAATATGAATCTCATTTTTCCTAAGGATATATCAATCTCATTTCCCAAAGGAAATATCAATCTCATTTTTCTGAAGGAAATATCGATCACATTTCCTGAAAAGATATCAATCTCATTTTCCCGAAGGAAATTATACTCATTACATGTTCTGCTACATGTCTCTATGTATACCTCATACATAAACTCCAATCATATATAGACATGCTTAGATACATAATATTTATGTATATTCATGATCTATTTTTGCCTCATAACTTGATAACATTCACTTAGTGCATCAAGGTTCTAATACATACATGCATATATATATATATATATATATATATATATATATATATATATATATATATATATATAATTTAAACGTATAACAATCATAAAAAAGAGTGAGAATAATAGCTCGCCTTATCAGTTAGTGAACACTAACTGTCCTTTTTTGTCTCCTTTTTGTCAATTTCTGCATCTTGATCCATATTTTGACAACTTTTTTCATAGGCGTATTCATACACATTCACAAACATATTAATACTTGTCTTAGCCTATTAAGAGTTTAATAACACTCCAATTCACCAAAATCACATTTTTATCCCAAAATACTAAATTGATAATTTCTTGTCAAGAAACAGATTAAGCTCCATGAACTAAGCTTACATATGACTAAATTCATTAAGTTATGTTCTCAATTTCACTATTTTATCACTTCCACCGATTAGGGTTTGAAACCCTATTAATCAATAAACAAATTTAACCATGTAATCTCAACATGAGGCTTGTAATTAGCTTCTAAACACTTGTAATAACATCATGATAAAGTTATCCACAAGCTATTTCAAGTTTCAATCATGAATTAAACATTTTCCACGGAAGCTCATAAACTCAATCAAGAAAAAAAAATCTTATATCATATGTTTCCAAAGATTACAACTTGTTTCCCTTGATTCTAGCCTTCTCTAGACCAATTTATATCTTCAAAATCTCCCATAAGAGCCCTTGTTCGAGTTGGGATAATTTGGTTCAAAAACAAAAGTTTAACAGATTAAATATGTGTTCTCTACACGCTTTCACGTCGTGAAAAGTGTTGGTCACATTGCGAAAAGTGATAGTCACGCCGTGAGAGTATTACCCACGTCGCGACTTTTGGGAATCTGCAACAGCTTTGGTGCATTTTTGTCCCAATTTCAAATGTGCATAACTTCTTCGTTTCTTATCCGTTTTCATTGATCTTTATATGCACGCGAAGTTGGGAACATACTCTACAAGTTTCTTTAGTCATATATCGTTGAATTCATACATATCTTAATATATTAAGTCATGAAGATGGCCTAGAAGCATAAAATACCAATTTACCCTTTTGGCCAAAAATGCATTTCTCATGCATTTTTTTTATCTAGAACTCACTCATCTAACCTATTATTGTGACTTAACCTTTTCTTGGACATCTTCATGAAGTTACAACTTCATATTCCCTTCTCTTTCTCATAAATGACCAAATTGCCCTTATGGTCAATCTTTGACTAAAACTCAAATCTTTCTAAATTTTGGGTTGTTACAATTACCTTAATGTTAGATGAACATAAGGTATGTCACTTACTATCCAAATTTATGTAGACTAAAATGAATTTTTATTTTTTTAACAGATTACCTTTATTATGTATGGGTTGTTGGAGGATGTGAAAGAGATATTGCCTACAGTTGAGCATAGACAATGTGCAAGGCATATTCTTGCCAACCTCAGGAAAAGATTCACTGGTGTACACTATGAGAGGATATTTTGGAAGGCATGCAAGGCATCCACTGAGCCTTTATTTAATGTATCCATGAAGGAAATCTAACTGCTTAATCCTGTAGCATTTGAATATCTTATGGAAAAGAACCCAAAATCATGGTGTAGAGCTTTCTTTCAAGAGGGCAACATGTGTTATGTAGTTGAAAACGGATTATCTGAGAGCTTTAACAATATAACTAGAGATGCAAAAAACCAATAATCATAATGTGAGAAGAAATTAGGTTGTATTTTATGGAGAGGCAATTCAATCTAAGCATCAAAGGTAGTTTATTATTTTCATAAAAAAATCCAAATATGTGATTTATTATGTTAGTTTTTAGACATTTTTATTAAATTTTCCAAAAACATATAAAATTAAATATTAAATGAGATTGGTAAGATGACGATCATGTCCTTAATGAGTTAATTTTGATCTAACATTTCACCTTTAGTTCTTGGGTTCTCAGAAAACTTTAAGTTTTCAACGGATATATATATATATATATATATATATATATATATATATATATATATATATATATATATACTAGTAGCGTACCCGCGCGATGCGGCGGCGGCGATTTGTTTCATTCCGACGATTAGTTTCCGAATGAAATTTAGTGTCATTTCGATGGCCGTCAAATTGTTTCCTTTCGATTTGTTTCATTCCGACGATTTGTTCCTTTCGGCGATCAGTAAAGAGCCAAACTTGAGCTTTACTTAAATACAAAACTCGAATGTCCACACTCAACTTACGTTCAACCGGGCTTTAGATCGTGAAATAATTGGTTAAACTTGATTATATATTAGAAAAACATAAAAATGTCAGTGAGTTATCTTTTGTGTCAACGTGAACTTATTTGCGGTCCATCAATGATAAAGTTATCCATTGTATGGACATGAACTCATTTGGGGTTCATCAATCTTAACGATGTCAACATCCAATTACTCATTTGGGATTTATCAATCATAGTCGGATGAAGCTCAAACTCTTATTACGAAATATATTCTTTAAATTATGTTTAGGATTAATAAATAAATAAATAAAATAAATTAATAAGTCTAAATATTAAGTAAGCTAGGAATCACAAATAATAAAGTTAGTTTACTTATCGGTAGATTCATTGGCAATCTTTAACTAAAATATACTCCGTATTAAATGAAAAACATTCTTCACTTTTATATCAATATTATATAAAAATTTAGATCAGTAACCAATTAAATAACATCATTTAGATTCCAATTTCTAAACATAATAACATAAATTTAATATGAAAATAAGAGTTTTATAGTAAAAAAGAAAAACTAAATAATAATTTAAGAAGTAACATCTATGTTAAGAATATAGATTACAAGTTAAATTCACGTGATAAAAAATTTAAAAAATATAGTGATATATATTAGCTAAAAAAATTCATATCTTTGGCTAATTTAAGCGTGTTTTATTTATTATTATTATTATTATTATTATTATTATTATTATATATATTAAAGTTGTGGACAAAAAGAACAGTAAAGCTGAGATATTTTTGCCACTTTTGGTCATTTAAATTACATTTTCGGTCCCTTCATTTTTGTTTGTGTGTCACTTTGTTTAAAGGATAACACTTTTATGAAATGGTAATTTTACAACTTTTTTTTACTCTTTTGCCTCAATTGTTTTACCTGTTGCCACTTTTCCCCTAAGTTATTGTTTTTTACTTCTTCCGCTCAATTCTCTCGCTCCGCTTTTGCTTAAAACGATTCCCATTTTTTTTATCGTCACTTCTTTAATTAATGAGTTTTTTTTAATGTGTAAAAGCATTTATGAACAGTAAGGAATTGGTTTATATTTTACATAAATGGTCCTTAGGTTTTGTTGAATTTGACGACAAAATTACATAAATGGTCCATATGGTTTACCCATGATGACAAATTCAGTCCCTACTATCTGGAAAGACCAAATTACCCTCACATTAACGGACAAAAAGCAACCAACATGCTACTTTACTTTACAAAGCAATACCTTCCGACCCCGGCAACGCCGGTAAATCTTTTATAGTTATTGTTAAAGATGATATAGTACTTAGTTTTATATTTTTTTTCAAACTTTTACGTTTGGCAAAACGATGATCGTATAAAGTAAAACTTTATAAAAGAAAGGGTTATTTAATTATACTTATGTAAATAGAAGGGTTAAAAAAATATCTTTTAAAAAGTTTAAATAAATGTGGGAAGTAGAAACATCAATCTATATTAGCCTATTAACTACTTATTAACTACTTATGATATATAACTGTTTACCATGCAATGTCATAATGTACTCTAGTTACGAGGTCATAGACTCCTAGTTTAATACCTCTATGGAGACCATTGCCCTTGGACACGTCATAATAACCATATCACCATCTTTTAAATTTAAAAATTACTTCCAAAATTACTCATATTATATCTCTTCCTCTCATAATATAACATTCATTTTATAATTATTATTATATATATATTAAAATTGTGAACAAAAGGAAAAGTTAACCTGAGATATTTTGGCCAGTTTTGATCTCTTAAATTACATTTTCGGTCCCTTTATTTTTGTTTGTGTGTCAATTTGTTAATTTATTAATGTATTTTTGTTTGTGTGCTATTTCTTTAATTTATTAATAGGATAAATGTATATACTGTATTTTTAATAGACGTCTACGTCACTGTTCACCACTGTTCATTCAACAAACGTGTCATCTTCTCTTTTACCACCGATCACCGCCTCTTAACCCAATCGATTTATTACACTCTCGATTCTTCTTCTCACTTCTTCTCTATTGAACCCGATCATCCGTTCTCTTCCGATCGCATGATGCTCTTTCGCTCTCCTTTGCCCTCAATCAACCTCCGTCCCGTCCTCCTTCTATCTCCCCAAATTCCACCGTCATCTTCCCTGTCTGTTCATGGCGGACAAACACCAGTGTGATTCCCAGAAAACCTTTACCTTCATGTAAGCCCTACATCAATTGAAGGAAATCTGTGTCAAATTTGCCCTCTGCCTTCTCCACTACTGGTACATCCAAAATCCGATTCTTTTATTTCGTGGGTTTCATTTCAGAAGATAGCAAATCCCAAGTAAGTTCATTATTTGCATTGTACAATGATTTCAATTTATGTGGTTTCGATTTATGAGAAATTTAGTGGTACATCGAAAATCCGATTTATGTTGTTTCAATTTATGTGACTTCGAAGGAGGAGAGAGCGACCAGTTGGCTGATTGCCTTGGAGCCGTCCTTTCTTCCCAGTTAGGGTTCTGATTGCTCGGGTTTGCGCCGGCAGGAGTTGGGTTCATTTTCAGACAATTGAGGCACTTTCATATGTTCCAGCACCTAAATTGGCTTTGAGGTTGTACTTACAGTGTGCAGAGGTAAACTTATTACATTTTGCGATCATTTGACAAATCTGCCCTCAATCTTTGCATCAATTATATAAGATTTTCTACTTTTTCTTTTTTCAGGCTGTTAACCATTGTGATTTGGACCCAGTTGCATATGAAGCTTTTTCCTCCGGCGTTGCGTATCTGCTTCACTTCATCTGAATCATTCCTCTTCCAGGTTTAGTGTTTTTAATTTTATTTTATTTGGGTATTCCTGCCTTATCTTCCAGTAGGGCTTCCTTCCTTAATTCTGAATTTTAGTTTCCGATTGCTTAATTTTTGTATTCAGTTTTTGCTTGGTTGCGTTTTCAGAATGTTAGCTTCTCCATTGCCATCGTTCTCCACTGCTTCATCTTCAGGTAAGCTTTCGGCAATTGGCAGCATACATTTTTTTATTATATATATTTTGAGGATTAATGGAACTATACATGTTCATCCCCATAGCCACCACCACAACTGTTGCTGCAACAACAACTTTTAAGGCCTTTGTGACTATTATTCGATATGTTAGATTAAAAATTAGGTCTTTTCAAATTAGAACCCTAACAAGAAAATAAATAGAAAGTGAAACGTTGTTATAGAAAGAAATGGAGGTAATATGCTCTAATAAACATGTAAATAATTTGAAAGGCTTATGTGATATTATTTCTTCTACTGTTTTTCCAATTAATTGAATCTTCCTCTTTTCAATTCTTATTCTATAGTGTTATTGTTTCAGCCAGATGATACTAATACTGCAAACTGGTGACACGAAGCTGTATATATCGTTTTGGGTATTTCTTTCTCCCACCTTTTTCCCCCATTTTAAAATTTTATAAAAACAAAAAGTTTATTCGATATGTAAATTTCGGTTCAATACTTAATTTTTTTTTCATGGCCTCATGAATTACCTCTTTGCCCTCACTTCATATAGAAAACATTGTTGTATTTTGGAAGATTTGGTTAAATCATTTATTGAAATGATTTCTATAACATTTGGATTTGAATACCTACATGGCTAGAAAAATTGGTAATGGAATCGCTGTTTAATGTCTTAATGGGTACAGTTGGAAATGTTAGATTAGGGAATGTCTATTCCCACTTGGAGTTTGGGAATTTGAAGCACATCCATGAAGCTGGGACAGTTTTGTATATTGTAATAGCAACAAGTATGATGAATAATACTGGATTTTAAATCGCAGAAAATGGCAACTGAAATCACAATCTTACATATAACTAGGTCAGAGAAGGAAGCTCATCTGGCAAGATTGTTGAGGTGGTCTATAAATGTGATCCTTTCTTTTTAATTTATAAAATTCGTTCCTACAACGTGCGCTTATTATTCCATTACGAAATTTCATATTTCAATGTTTTATTTATTAATTTTCATTTCTAGCTATAAAGAATGTCATATTTGTCTGTTTGTTTTGTTTTGATAGAATGGAATATGTGATTCCCTAGTGTTTTATTCTTATAGTATGAAATATCATTTTTCCCTATTTATATTTCCCAATTTTCATTTCTAAGGTATAAGGAATGTCATATTTAGCTATCTAATTACCATTTTTGTGTATTTGATCAATAAGCTTTTATTGTGTATTTGATCAATAAGCTTATAATAATTTACGAGTTTTGTTTTTGTAAAGATTTAGTAAATCAATATAAGTAAATTCATCTTATTGGAAAAAAAAAACTTAGACAACTCTATATTCTTTCTTTAAATTGATGTTGTGTTTTTTATGTTTGTTTATAGAAATCAAGGGTATGCACAATTAATGAAATTAAGAAATAGCAATGTACATTCATTTTTTTATAGCATACTAGAACATATTTGGTTATTATACGTTTGTAAATAGGTGGGTTGTAGAATGACACAGATCAAAACCCCCAATCCATGCGAAAGCTTCTGACCCCCGCATAGCAGGGTTCCCTTTCTAGTAATAATTAATTCGTTAGATTAAGCTTTCCTTTATATTAAAGGTTATTTTATTTTAATTATCATCTTATTTAAACTCCAACTCATTATCATCTTAGTTCCATAGCACCAACTCTTAAACAAAATTATTCATGTTTTCCACTAGAAAAATAAAAGAAACATATTTTCATTATAAAATTTTACATGATCTACTTATTTGTTTATTTAAATCATTACTATATCCGTATAAAAGGCATCATAATATCAAACGTTTCTACTTTCAAAAGAAAAAAATACAAATATTTTTAATTAATTATGAAACATTTTATTAATAATATAATTATAAAACACTACATCTAATATATTAAGTTCATATCTTAAATATTAGTTAGTTAATAGTTAGAAAACTAATTTGTTATTGACATGACTTTATAGATTTCAAATTAACTCAAAATATAGTTTTTTTTACTCATTAACGTTGTATCTATTAATTTGAGTTGTTGATATTAATTTGGTCAATTTTTAATGGCTCAGAACAATTTAAGAAAAAACCTGAATCCATGACACAACCAAGAATAAAAAAATGGAAGAACATTTTACATATAAACTCACTCGCAGACTATACACACTATATTTAATTTATCCACAAAGAAAAAAAAAGATGGTCAATTAAACAGTTTCTCAGACAAAACATAGATACATAATTAAAGATACACAAATGATATATATCATACACACATGTACAACATATCAAACACACACACACAAACAGTTACACAGTCACCCACACATAGATATCATATAAAAAGATACACAAATGATATATATCATACACACATGTACAACATATCAAACACACACACACAAACAGTTAAACAGTCACCCACACATAGATATCATATAACACAAAACCTTCATATTCAAATACAAATACAAATACATGAAGATCGGGAGTAAGATCTGGAAAAACAAAAAATAATTTGGATGCTGTCTTATATCAAGTACTCTGATCCTATGAATATTTCTGCATGTAAAAAAGGAAAAGCTAAGTCATTTTCTATGTTCACAAATCACAACATGTAATCGATAAAGACACCATGGCGATATTAGAAAGAGAGATGTGGTTAGGGGTGCAAACAAGCCAAGCTACTCGCGAGCTACTCGAGATCGGATCGTTAAAAGCTCGACTCGAAACCGATTTTAAACGAGCCCGAGCCGAGCTCGAGCTTAATATTAAGCTTGTTTATTAAACGAGCTCAAGCTTAAGCCTATGTCACTAAGCTCGATTAGGCTCGCGAGCCTAAACGAGCCTTTATATAATATAATTTACTATTATTTATATATATTAAAATAAAAACATATTAGGAGAATTATGAATTTAGGGTATTAGTAAACATGCTTTTTAACGAGCTCGAGCCGAGCTTAAGCTTATTTACGCACGTCAGATAAAAACGAGTCGAGCCTGGGCTCGAGCCGAGCTTGTATAACTCTTTACGAGCTCGAACCGAGCTCAGTAAAAGAAAGCTCGAATCGAACCGAGCTCGAGCTCGAGCCTCATATAACTTAAACGAGCCCGAGCCGAGCCTGGCCAGGCTCGGGCTTGGCTCGGCTCGTTTGCACCCCTAGATGTGGTGAGTGGATAAGTCGAGTAGCTTAAACATTGGTGGTACTAAGAAACGATGGAACTGAGAATAGATCTAGGTTATCTTGCGTCAGCATCGACGTCGGTGTGGTATGGAGGCGGAGGCGGAAGCATCTGAGATTGATGGTGGAGACGGCTCGGGTATAGATCTACGGTTTCGGGTGTGGTCGACACATGGTGGTGTGCAGCAACACGGTAGTCGTCGTCGACGGTGAAGGTTGCTATGGATAGAGGTGGCGGTAGTTGTAACCAAGAGTGGAGATGATGTTGATAAGGGTTTTTTACGTTATAGAGAGTGCAAAGAGAAAAGTGAGTTAGGTCTTGTTTGTTTACCACTTAATGCCTCTTAATAAGAGGCACATCTGAATCTAATCTATAAGATTCAGAGTGTTTGTTTGCTGCTTAATAAATCATCTTAATTGTAAAAAAACATCTTACCGAATCAGACTTCAAAACGCATCTGAACAAAAAAAATAAGACGCGCTTCCTATTTTGCCCATCGGTTCTCTCTCTCGCCTCTCAAGATCTCTATGCCTTTACAATCGACTCTCCCCTTCTCCACATCATCTCTCACCGACCTCTTCTCTGGTCGTCGCCGCCATCCACTGAACCACCTCCGGCTAGCGTCATCCTTTAGCCATTCGCTGGCGACACCAGGTAAACTTTTTTTTGCCCTAACTTTTTCTATGGAGAAGGAGAATTATGATTCGAGCATGGAATACAAGGAACAGGTGATTCTCTATCCTCTTCGGTCATTCGACTTCTCACTGCACATCCGTCCCCATTGTCGACCTCGCACACCCACCAGGTTCGTTTTTCTTTGATTTTTCAAAAATTGATTGCTGTGAAATCTGTTCTTGAAGTTTAGGAGTTCCTTTGCCTATGATTCCTTTGAGTGTGTAATTTGTGATTTTGGTGTGTGTAATTCATTTTGTTGAAGTTAAATCTGTTATGTGAAATCTGTCTTGATGTCTTGGTTAGTTGAAGTTATTTAAGCTTAAATGGGTTTTTGAGTTATTGGATTCAAAAACTTCAAGGATATGTCCGTTGATGGCTGATTTGGTGACTCCTTAGTTGCTGCTTTGTTATTTTGAATCAATGTAGTTTGGATCAAATTGAGGTGTTTTCGGTCACCATTTGATGATTTCAGGTATGTATTAACAAGGGTGGTAACAAATGGAAAACAAGATCATCTTAGGAAGAAGATAATTGATTGCTGAAGTTATATATAACTAGTCTTTTGACTGTCGATCATGTTAACAGGAAGTGGATTGCTCTCCAGTCAAGTTTAATAGCTAAAATTGTTGTCAAAAGTTTGAAACTCTATTGAATGTATGTTTGTATGTTTAGCATGTAATTATGTAAATATATAATTTTTTTCTAGCAATTGATTTTGATTTTGGAATTTTTATAATTTGTGATATACTTGAAATAAAAAATAACACGAAGGGTAAAATAGTTATTTTTATTATTCAGCACAAAAATTCAGATGTTTCAACCAAACAATATTTAAAAGTTCAGATCTTAAAAATTCAGACCCTCTTAAAAATTCAGACCTCTTAAAAATTCAGATCTTAAAATTTCAGATCCTACCAAACAGCCCTTACAATATGACAAAGGTTTTGTTCTAAAATAAGGAGGCGATATCAATCTTTATTTTATAGTGTGAATGCTTTATTTTTATTGGCCTAAACTTATTTGCATGGATCACCATACCTCTTATATAATCTATACCATCCAAATTAAATCTAGGGCTTCATATCTAACCTCCTTATTTTTAAGATTTTGGTCTTAAAACTTTTGGGTTTCTTATTATATATATATATATATATATATATATATATATATATATATAGATATATATATATATATATATATATATATATATATATAGATATATATCTAATAAATGAATAGTTTTAATATCATTTTGTCAAGTGGCACTCTAATACAACTCCGTATTAATATTCTGCCATGTGTCATCTAGATATATTAGGTAATTCATTTCAAAATTCAAATATATATTTTTTTAACTATATGTTAAGTTTGAAATTATAATAACTTTAAACTTTTGATATATCTCTTAACTAATAATTTATTTAAAATGACTTATTTAAAATAACTGATTAATAATTATAAATTTTTATTATAAAAGTTTAATTAATTTTATAACCGTGGTTACCACGGGTTATATATATATATATATATATATATATATATATATATATATATATATATATTCTAACTGTGTGGATATAGGAATTAACGTAGATCAATCATTTCAATAAGGTATTTTTGTAATCTTACATTTTAATTAATACTTTTAATTTAATTAATTTGATTTCTATCCCAGTCAAATCTCTTTGTATTAAGCAAATATTTATGAATGTGTTAATTGTTATTCTATAAAACCCTACGCGACTGGAAGACACAAAGCCATTGGCATTAATTTATCCCTTCTTCCTCTTAACACCTGCGGCCATATAAATCCCCCATTCAATCGCCGGCCAAAAAATGGCAGTAATCATCTTCAACGTCGGTCCATTTTAGATGAATCGAATATAAAGTATATGAGCTATGTTGGCGAGCATCACCTGCCGCGTATCAATCATCATCACGCATCACCGGTTGCTATGGACAATAAAATATCCCTAGTTGCAGGTATGGTTGTATTGGGTTCTGATTTTTTTTAATGGCAATCAATAATGTGAATTTTCTCAAGACAAACAGTAGGAATCAAGATTAATTTAATGTAACTGTCTAACCGACCGATCTTGCTTGTGGTTAATAGTTTTTGAAATATATCTCTGTTTTTGTTACTCGTTCTGGAAAAAGAAATGGAATACGGCAATATTTGATAAAAATTTTTAAATATTAGATACTTGAAATCATACCGAGGGCCGGTCCAAGACAGTTTGAGGCCCGGGGCAAAACACAAAAGTAGGGCCCTTTCCTATATATATATATATATATATATA